ATTCCTGGCATCTTGGATCTTGTAGAAGCTTTTTCAAAAGATCTTCAATAATCCGGATAATTTTTAAACTTTGGCGAAGTATCTTCAGAGGTCCTGGGTCTTTCGATTTTGCCAAATAATCTCACGAGGTCTTGGATTTCTGAAAACCTCGAGATACCGAGCTTTTATCTCTGGCTAAAAGACCTTCAATGGATCTTCACATTTAACTATTAATTTGCTAAAGATTCTTTTAGGATCCATTCGTGCAGTTGTGCAGTCTTTTAGATAGGTATTAAAGCTAGACCAATGGTCGACACAGGGGCGTCACTATGTATAGTCACAGCCACAGCACAGCAATCTTAAAGGGAATGTTTTAGATTTGAAGATATTGAAACAAGCAGTACATATGATGAAACGCGCTCACCTTATATTTATTGGTATTATTTTCTAGTGGAAAACATCGCTCTAGGCAACACAATTTTCTGTTCAGTGAATATGCTCCTCAATGCGTCATGGTTTTAATGACGCCATTGCACCTAGCACAACGTTGATTGAAAGCCAAATGACGGCCGTTGTATCTGGAAATCGCGCTCACGAACGCCAGATATGACCGCCTCGACAATTGTGTTTCACTGATATGATCATTGATCGCCGCATGGCCTATGAAATGACAGGATTTGAATGATGTTATTATGACGTCATGAATGCCAAGCCAATTTTGAAATACGCTCCCCGAGAAACCTTTTCCCATTTTCGCGGGCATCTAGCTCACAAACTAGAAGGGCTTAAGTCTCAAGAAGAACAGGCTTGTGAACAGCACCGAAAGGCCTTAAAATGGCTACTTCAGTTTAAAACCCCATATCAGTGTGAAACACTCCCTTTAAGCTGATGTGCATTCCAGCGAAACGATTCTCGAACAAATCTAGTGAAGCTCGTGCCGTGGGCGGTGCTGATCCGTCCTGGAGCCACCCCTCGTCCCGATCCACCCGTGAAGTTCCCCCGGGACCACCCCGCGGGGTATCAAAGCGGTAGCGATGTAGCACCCCGGGGTGGCGTTGACAAGATACTCGTCCTTGTCGTCAAAGATACATCTTCTGTACAGCCATGATTTGACAATGTGAGATCACTGATGCGGCTACCATTGTTTGTTTTTTACCACGTTTCTTTGTTACATGGTTATTTGGATGCACTTCCAGTCTTGACTGCGCGAAAAATACGCTTGCCATTGTTGAGTAAAACGATAAATAACTTTGTTCTGTCCGCCTTTCGGAAACGATGGTTGTACAGAGTTTCACTGTTAACTTAACCTTTTTACTTCCTTGCAAATCCGATGCATTGTTGAACCGAAAATTGCAGCATAATCGGGAGACCTCATTCCGTATTATCGTTATCACGGAAAAGAAGTGGTGCTATGTATTTAACCCATACCTTTTGATTGACTGTGTTTCTGGAGGGGGTGGCCATGGTATAAGCAGCGCACGTTTCGCCAGGCCTGCTTCTATCTCAAATTTTTGGTCGACGACAGAACTTTGCGGCGAAAGCTTTAAGGGACTGTTCCAAGTTTGCAGGGGTTATTGATCTGAGAAAGTCATTGTGAGCAAATATAATTTGCATCGCACTGAACCGAAATTATAGTCGTTTCTGTCTTCCCCAAATCTGAGAAAACCCATAATATCTCACACCAACTTTCGATCTTTTGTCGTAACTGAGTGAAGGTAGCTAAATAAGTAAAGTTTTCAGAACAGTGACTGAGTTCTAGCAGTGGCTGTAGGAAAATCGGGACGTCCCAACTGCTTTTACCGAGGAAGACGGTGGCAGACGAAGAAAAATAAAACCATGGCCTGTCGTGAAAGGCAGGCGAAAGACGGCCGTTTTAGAACTTCCCGCAAAAAGTCAGACGTTCACGTGTGCATGCCACGATTAGGTGGATGTTCCACGCTTTGATATTCTAGTACAATGACAGGCAATTCCAAACGACATGCATCGCGTTTTGGAACTGGTCCAAGGCAGCACACGCAATACCAATCGCGTGACTGTTACCTGCTCCCGTGGCTACCGCCCATGCACCACCGTGTTCGCGGAAAGCAAAGTTCGCGTCAGTTGTGTGACGTCACATCGCGCAATCACTGCAGGCGTTGCATGCTGGACACCGATCTTGTTCTGGCTAGAAAAGGAACGCCGATTGCCTAATGATGGTGTGCGTAACTAATTTAGAGATCTGAGATGAAACTGTGTATGGTAAAAGTTTCGTAGAATACTACGGCGTTGATTCCAACGTTAGTATCATTAAAAGTTTCCGGGAGCGTCATAAGATCGTTCTGCTTACCGTTTGAGCGTCGGCTGCTTCAATAGACGCTTCGGAGTACAGCTAGTTCAACCTACCATAGCTAATCCAGTCAGCAAAACAAAGCTTTATTGCGCATTTCGCGAATTCACCATTCGTTCCCTACCACTCCCTCTTAATCTGTGGTTCGGCCATTTCTTTGCAGCCATGTGTCTGTTAGTTCAACCTTATTTAACTGCGGTCCAGCCATTCCTTTGTAGTTGTGCTTTCATTAGTTCAGCATCCCTTCATGGCTAAGTTTCCATTTTTCGAAACGTTGTGGCTAGCGTTGTCTTTATTTCTCGATACTATCGAATGCTTCCAGTGTGGTGACATTAACAATGCTGAAGTTAACTTGTAATGTTATTGGGCTCTTCTCTTATACTCCATTGGCTAACAACGAATATTTTCCTACCCTTGAATTGTCTGTCTACGAGTTTTTGTCATCGGCAGTGTCCATCCGGTTTTAGCTGGTAAAACCGCCTGGAAGAGGATTTTTTTCAGCCGCTTGTTGACAGTCCTTCTCCCGACCCTCGACCACACACCCATTGTAGTCCAGTTGAGACAACGATAGCGCGGCTACAGTACACATCCACTCACTAGGCAAACTGAACGCATTGTGGGGCCCAATGGGTTCTGCGAGCCTCGCTCCTTATCATCAATGTCAGCTCGTAACAAACATGGATGAAACGTACTTCGTTCGCGCTGCTTATTCCACCACAGTGACGTCATTAACCAGATGATGTAATGAGTCACCACACCTCGACATGCCCATGATAGCATCGCCCGGTTACATAACTCTCCTCTGAAGATCTGCCGCATCATCCACTGTGCTGGACTGGTTGAAGAGTCGTGCAAACGGAACCAGTGTTTCGGGACATGATGGGTACAGCTGACCCTCCGAGTGGTGCTGACATTGCCCTCCAGCCGGTTGCAGTGATGGGCATGGACGGAGTTTTGCAGGATCAACAAGAGGGAAAGCCGGATCCAGGTGTCAAGCTATCAATTTAAGGGAAATCAATTCCAGTCAATCAATTCAAGGGAAACAGGAGACAGCAGTTAAGTTCAGTGTAGTGATTAGTTAACACACTTTTCTACCGAAGTTGGTGGACTGAAGCCACCCTTGCCGAGTACCATAAGCAACTCAACAGAGGTGGTGGATTTCCACAACGCTGGGTTTGCACAAAGCTGCAAGAAATGATACTCCATCGCGTCTACATTTCGCCACAAATGATCATTTGATCAGATTTTCTTAACACTTGCTACACGAAACTGTAAAGAATAAGTGCTGCAGAAAACCATATGATGATTTTTTTAAGTATCCGTCGCTCCAACCGCGCTCATCAACGAACGTTTTACCCCACTTGTGAAGGCTGCCGAAATTTTGAAGAACATCAAAACTCGAGGGTGAAGATTTGTATCTCTTTGAGGACCTGCAAACACCAGTTAACACGCGCCTATGTTGCAACTGCTCTTCCATTCCAATACTAAGATGCTCCTACACTTCGTTTGGGATTCAACAAGCCTTTACAAAAAAGTTCCTTTTGCCAGGTGTATCGTTTTTTGAGATCGAGGAAGGGAGAAGACCCGGCGCCAAAAGCACGCAACGATCTGCGACAATGCCCTGATCGCTCCCCCCCCCCCCCCCCCGCTTAGATAGCAGGAGTCGTTTGCCCGGATAATGCCTGTGCGCTCAGCCAAGCTGTTGCATCAGCTGGCTCGTGCCGTTCGCTTGTAGGCATCTTCCTTCCGGCTGGCTGACTGATGCGGCCTTCACGCCGCTGCTCAGATCAAGACCGCGAAGAGCGTTCCACCCACGACGCATTTGGTAGTCTCGCGGGCGGAAATTCCGTCTCCGGCTTGGTTTAGCGGCAATTTAAGTAACAACTATCTGCTGCCAATACCGGCTGCGCGCGATTAGCGGCGATTCAGCTGATAAAACCAGTGCTTAGCGCCCGCGGTGGTGTCCAAAATTTGCTGTGCACACACACACACACACACACACACACACACACACACACACACACACACACACACACACACACACATACATATATATATATATATATATACATATATATATATATATATATATATATATATATATATATATATATATTGTGAACGTACGCTGCTATGGTCATGGGCAATCTCCAAGGCGTCACATCTCTGCATTGCGTCGGGTGCTTATAATGCGGTAAGGCACCCCGCTTGGCATTAACGCTTGAAAGGCGAGGAAGACCTCAAGCTTTTAGTTTTGTCCGTGTTGTAGGAATATATACAAGCATATATACATATATTTTACATAAATGTACATATATATGCATGTATATGTACACAAATATGTATGTGCATATCTATCTTTATATATGCATGTATATGTGTATATAATCCTACAATACGGACAAAACTAAACGCTTGAGGTTTTCCTCGCTTTTCAAGTGTTAATGTCAAGCGGGGTGCCTTACCGCATTATAAGCGCCCGACGCCAAGCAGGAAAGTGACGCCTTAGAGATTGCCCACGGCCAAGGCAGCGTCCGTTCACTATCAGTGAAGCCTCGAAGGCACGTGCCGTGCCACTGGCCGAGCGACGTACGCACCGACAGATTCCGTATTGCCCATGTCCGTTGCCAAACACATCAGTGGAAACCACGCTGACGGAAGCCTCCCACTGTCCTCAGCGCACAGTCGCGTCGCGATGAAGTGCGCCGAGCGGTTCAACCTGGTTGACCGGGTGCTGAAGCGATGGTTCCGGCGGCTGGGCGGCGTCGTCGGCCGCCATCCGGGGTACTTCCTGCTGGTGCCGCTGCTGCTGACGGCCATCGCCGCTACCGGCTTTCAGCGAATGCAGCACGAGAACGCGCCGGAGCGCCTCTTCTCGCTGCAGACGGGCCGAGCGCAGCGGGCGCTGAAGCTCGTCGAGCGTTACTTCCCCATCAACGACACCAACTACGACGCCCACCGCAGGACCACCTTGAAGAACGTGGCGCGCGTGCTGGTAACGGCGCGCGACGGAGGCAGCATGCTGCGCGTGCGGCAGCTGCAGGAGCTGGAGCAGCTCGACCGGCGCGTGCGCGAGGTCGAGCTGGACAGCGGCTGGCGGCGTTGGCGCTACGCGGACGTGTGCACTACGCGCGCCGGCGAGTGTCTGCCGAACGACGCGCTGCTGCTGGTGCCCATGGCGAAGGACCTGGAGAGCGGGCGCGTGAACCTGACGTTCCCAGTGTGGATGGGCGACTGGCAGCGGCCGCTGGCGCTGGCGGGCGTACTCGGAACGCCGCAGGTGGACGCCGAGGGAGTCATCACGAACGCGCCCGCTCTGCAGATCTACTACTGGACGGCGAACCGCACCTTCTTCAACATCGATGTGTAAGTGTTCGTGGGACGCAGGCGGATGCCAGAGGACCTCCGGGCGTGAATGGGGATGACGGGTTATGTTTGCGAGGTTTTGGAGAATTGCGCTTGACTTTCAGCTTTTACACTTTAATTTGATTACTTTCATTAATTTTCTAATCACTTAATTTTGAAAACAGCGTCTTCAAGCCACCTGACCTTTTTGCCGCCACTGACACTGAGGCGGCATGGCTTCAGGATACTAGCTGAACTAGCGGTTCCAAAATCAGTTCGATGTCAGTTTTCAACTTTCACTCCCCAGTCATGACATTGTACCACGAGATCCTTGTCTCAGTGCCACTGATTTACGAAACTGATCTTCAAAGCCAACGTTGTCCCTATCTTTTGGCGTCATCAAAAGTTTGAGAAGTACGGAACCCACTGAGCTTTTGAGCCATGCAGTAGCTAAAACAGAGGGGTCAAAAAGGGGGAGGGCAACGTGGCAGGCGAGGCGCGCGGAAGAAGGTGGGGGTGGGGGGGGGGGGGGGTGGGGGGGGGACGCCATGCCGCGCCGGTGATACAGCGGATTGGAGGACTACAGTCACGGGTGTAGTTGATTATTCAGTTGAGGTGGCTCCAGAGGGGGGTCCAGCCATTGCAATTTGATCTCCAACTCCCAACAATGAGAAGAAAGTTGGCAAAATCCGTGTGCCGACACATTTTGTGACATTTTTGGAGTAAGTTAATTATTTTTCACTGCTCAGCCCCCTTCCCCGCCCCTCCACTCATTTTGCCTAACTACGCCACTGATCACGATGCAGGCCTCGTAATGAATATTCTGCGCGCGCGTCTGTCGACTGGCATGTGCGCCTGCTTGACCTTGAATTGACCTTAGCTGACGAATCGGGCGCAGCTGTGTCATCGGCACTAACGCATCACAAAAAATTAAAATAAATACAAGCCCGAAAATCCCCGCCACAGTCCTTCCGCGCACGAAATGCGCTAAGCCAAGCTTAACCATGGCGCGAATGGCCGCGATCAAAGGCTTGGTCTAATCTGTTCTCGAACATTCCTGCCATTGCGCAATTCTGCGCCATCATGGATTAACGTCGCACCAGGCGTCCTCTCTGCAGGAGGCTCGCTAAAGCAGGCCTTGACAGGTACCGCAGATTTACTGCGGGTCTTGGAAGTTCGCAAGGTTATTCGCGAGCTGCAGCGCTTGAGGGGAGGGCCCCCTGACTCACGGGACCAGGAGGGCCCCCAGCGTCGGGGAGAGACGTCATGCGGGCTTGTTTGAGGATCATGATCCGGTATGGGGATCAGGCAGTGGGCGAAGAGGGGGAAAAGGCGGTGTGCGTGCTGTATCTACTCGGACAGCTGTGTAGGATTCTGCTTAGTTGGGGGCTCTGCCCCTCTCCCCAAACTTTGAAAATAAATGGGCCAAATCTGTGGAGAACTTTGTCTGCTGGCGTATGTTGTGAATGGCTCATTGGTTTCCACTGTTTAGTCCCTCACGCCAACCCCTCCTCAACTAATATTGAGAAACTTCCCCTTGTGCTCAGGTGCGGAGTCTTTTTGTGTTGGGAAGACATGCACAGGCATTTGGGCGCTCACGAAGGCTGTTTTCAGTGACACAACATCGACATTGTCGGTCAGCACTGCATAATACGCATAATGTAGGCCATGGGCTCGCTGCAAGGGAGACGCGCTAGGCAGGATATGCAACGGTACAGGCTGAAACAATGAGACTTTTTGGGGATGAGTATAGGAGCAACTAGCAGCAGCTACATCGTGTTTGGCATGTGGCATCCATTCGTGGTCATGCCGAAGCTGTGCTTTCGCTCACGTTGCTATTGGTAACGACGTCAGCTGAAGGTTTGCCAGGCTGATGTTTGCTGGGCACTGGGTGCAGTATATTCCAGTAGATTCCAACCGACAGCCAACCCATGCTATGAAAGTTCTAATCTAGCTCCGACTGGCGTGAATAGACTGCGGTGTTGCGTTGCTATTGGTAACGACATCAGCTGAATGTTTGCCAGGCCGATGTTTGCTGGGTACTGCGTTCAGTATATTCCAGTAGATCCCAACCGACAGCCAACACATGCTATGAAAGTTCTAGTCTAGCTCCGACTGGCGTGAATAGACTGCGGTGTTGGCCTTAATTTTCATTTGATGTCACGCTTCCCAACATTTGGCACACGCCTTCATCACATGAGCATGCAGGAAACTGGCGGCAGAACCATGTAAATGCTTTGCTGTTCCATTCAATTTCCAGATTCCAGTTCCATCTGTTCCATCATAACACGGGACAATTGGTATTCCCAAAAAGGCATGCTGCGGGTGGGCGTTTGCCGCTTGATTCAGGGGATCAGGAGATATTTGTGCTGCAAAGTTGCACCAATGTGGGCATGTAACACTGCAGGCACCGAGTCTTGCGTCCTTTTCAAAGCTTTGCACGTTGTGCGTATGCTGTGATCTTAGCCCTTTCGGCCATCTGGCGGCGTGATAGTGAAAGAAGTCATTTCGCACTGTTCCCTGGGTATTACGTTTTTTCCTGTCAGGAAAGCACGTGCCCCGCACAAGCTTTTTTTGCTGTAAGGGGCAGGAAAATACAGTGCATCGCCCTTAAACAAAGCTGATCAGTATTCTACAGCTGTCAGGAAAAGATAAAGCGTTTGTATTGGATAACTACCCTCCCAGCACACGTCTTCAGCATTAAAACTGCAACATGCATCCATCTAGTCGGTTCCTCCACCCCTTTAAAGGCAACGGGACGTACGCCGTCACGCACCCTTTATGGAACGCCAGCGACTGCTTCGCCCATATTGGCGCTCATGTACCATGCCCATGACGCAACTGGGGCTCGACCCCGACCCTCCACGTGGGAACCGAAAGTGCTAACCACCTGGTCATTACCCCCTCTGTTCGCCGCTGGGGGCTGCGCGAGTCTGGGTAGAGGAACGCGGGGAACAGTTCGGGCCGATGACCGAACGATCTTAGGTCAAGGTCACTTGGGTTTGGAATGCTGATTTTGTATCACAGTCATCTTTGGCTGGTAGTTCCCGCTAGATCGTTGCCACTGTATGCTACTGTGCACAGAGGCGCAGCCAGAAGTTGCGATGGGCGGGGGGTTGGAGGGGGGGGGGGGGCTGCCATGATTTGCGACAGAGGGGGTAACCTTGATTTGCGATGAATGGGGGGGGGGGGGGCTGCCATCATTTGCGACAGAGGGTTAGCCTTGGTTTGCAATGGAAGGGGTAACTTTTTCACGAGCGAGTCCCAGCGCTAATGGAAGTACCCACGCACTGCGCGCGGACTTACAGATCCCACAAATGCTGATAGACGCAGTATCTAGCGTATTAATTAGCTATCGATGTTGGTTTGCCTTGGTGCCTTAACAGTTGGTTTTTTGTTGTTGTTTTTTGCATACCGTACATTTTTACTTGGATATCAGCTAGTCCTGTTACTAGGTTACGGCTGTTGGGCTCTACAGGTTGCTGCCCATGGAAGTGTCTATGCCAAAATCGTATTCCAAGTCGCCATATTCCGGAACCACATTCAGTAGTGTCGTGGTGAAAAACTGCGCTCGATCCTAATGGGGCCTAAAGCCCGTGAGGTCCCTTCCCCTCACTGCACTGCTGCTGATGCGGCAATTTCGCATCATACTCTAAATGAGGCAGGCTTCAGGCGAGCCATCCAGCAGTGTAATGATCACTTTGCCTAAACAGAAAAAATCCCGGAGATTTTTGCGTACTGTTATCCTAAAAAGTGCATAATCTTGGTTTCCAGATGTCACTTTATAACAAACCAACAGATGAACGGGCCAAAATAACACTTCAAATTCGTGTGCCCGCGTACATTTCAAACATTGATATCTACATATTCACGACCGAAAGTTGGAGCAAATTGGCGAAGAAACACGCGTGTTTCAGGGGGTGAATTTTGATTGATGTGTGCATGCAACAAACACACAGTTTGAGCACATCAGAGCGGTGTGCACATTCAGAAAACGTGCGACTATGAGAGGGAAAAATTCAATTTCGGATAACGCCACGTTCAGAAGGACGCTGCCGAGGTCAGTGACCTCTTTCGCTTCTCGCTGTCAGGACGCGTGAGAAAGCAGCATCAGATAACGCGGATTACCTTGTAACATAGCGACTCCAGGGCGAATGGCCTGGCCCTGCCACCATCTCAACAGGCCTCCTGATGACATCACCGCCCTCCCTGGGTCACAAAGGATAATATCAATGTAAATCGCTGGCTCCTGCTTTGTCCTGGCTTGGGAAATGGGCCCTGTGGCTCATGCTGACACGGAGCCGATTGTGCGCTGCTGGTGGTGTCTGATCGACATAAAGGTCCTTGTCGGCTCAGGAGGCCTCTGATCAGCGCACAGGGCCCTCTGGCTGGCATTGAAGTGCTTGGTCCGACAGGCTGGGGGTCCCGAAACACGAACTCTGGCCGGCCTTTCGGGCTCTTCGGGCCCTCAAATTGGGCCCTCAATCGTGGGTCCCGGGAGGTCCTTAGGACCCCTCGACACCTGGTGGGGGGAGGGGGGGGGGAGAGCACGTGCCGACGCAGAGGACCCTAGCTGCGCCACTGTCTAGGCTGACACCGCCACCCTCACGACAGGCGCTGACACCGCCGCCCTTTGTTCCGGCAGGTCCCTGCAGTGGGAGAACGAGCTCCTGCAGTCGTTGCTGGCCGCGCGGGACGAGCTGCAGCACATCGACATCGCCTTCTTCGTGTCGCAAACAGTCGGCGAAGAGCTCGACAAGAACGTGTACTCTGTGATCCCGTATATGAGCGTCAACTACCTGATCATGGGCACGTTCTGCGTGCTCGTGTGCATGATGCAAGACTGGGTGCGCGCCAAGCCCGTGGTGGTGGTGATGGGTCTGCTGGGAGCCGGCATCGCCACCGCCACCGCCTTCGGCCTGCTCATGTACTGCGGTGTGCCCTTCATCAGCATCAACATCGCCGCTCCCTTCCTCATGCTCGGTGAGTGAGCGTGGCCTTGAGGGGGGTTTGAAGGCTCGGCCACGGGCGCGGCCTTTCGGAAAGCATTGGGGGAGGGGGGGGGGGCGTTGGAGCTTTGGGTTTGTTCGTTTGCTCAGGTCCAAAGGTGCCATGACCCCCTGTGAAACTGCAAAAGCCTTTGGATTTTAAGACACACAAAAGCATGGGAAATGTACCTCATAGTGGCAATCTTACCCACTCGTGCGACAAGTGGCGCATTCAACACATAACTCAGTGGGATGGTCAGTTACGAGTTGCGAGAATCCATGTCACTGCATAATTAGAACCATGTGGGATATGAACTGAGGATGATACCGTATTCAAAGGACATTTAAGTACGGGTGTCCATTCTGGCAAAGTTGAGTGTAGTTGCTGTAAGACACGTGGTCTCGTGGCAAACGGGCCGAAGCGAAACAGGTGACAATAGGTATATGTTTTTAGCCGCGCTGTGCTGTAAACGCATCAAGTCATAAAACAAATAAAGCCATCATTTACACACGGCACAGCCAAAATAACCTGGTCACATTTGGTCAGGTGATCATCAACATGCAATGCTGTGGCAGTTTGAAAGAAGGAACTATCACGACATCCTCGCAAACTGGGCTCCGGAAGCAAACCACCTCTTTCTCGTCTCCCTTAATCATTCCAGCAAATGCGCTATGCCAAATCGCCCGTATACGTGACAAACACATTTCGGACGACGACTTCAAACCATTGATGAGGCGCATCCTAGCGAGCAAGTTAAGCAGCTTGTTAATGACTAACGACTTGTCACGTGACTTGTCCCCGGTAAGACTTGGGTACGACTGCTGAGTCATGGTTGCTGGCAAGATTAGTGCGGAGATGGCGGCCCATCGGAAACCATGCGCACTGAGGCGCCGATCTGGGGCGTGCTTCGTGCTGCCGCCGTCTTGGCTTCGCGGAGATGGTTGGGCAGCAACAGTTGACACCAGTGGCAGCTGGAGTGAGACCTCCAAGCTTCTGCGATGCGACTGGGCGCCTACCATGCATTGGACCCGTGATCATTCCATGTGTTCACACAGTTTTGGTCGTCCACATTTGGCTATGGAACTTATGACTCTTGCGTGAAATGTCAGCACGCCTTTTTCCGAGGCCGCCAGGTTTCCGTTCCGTTCCGTTCCGTTCCCACAGTTATTCACGTGCCGGGGCGTTCATTGGGCCTGAAGCACGAGCCATCATATGGTGCAAGTCTGGTGGCATAGCGGTGGGAATAAAACAAAGAATTGCTATCAGAGATACAAGAGAAAATCGAGCAACGCGATCATGGAATATTAGGTTGTCGTTGTCTTAACAATTGGTAACATTGACCATACAGTAGCTAGGGCACGGGACCTGGGAATTCGTTCATGTCTGCACGAACAGGCGTGTTTTCCGCAACTTGGAAGATCGATCATTAATTTCAAATGGGAGGTGCTTACTGTAAACGGTAGCTGGAAAATACAACGACTACATGCAATCAGATGAACGCCATTATAGACATTGCTCGTCCCGGGTCGAAAATTGGCCAATAGTCAGGTTTGGCTGGTCAAAGAGCCGTGGGCGAGATCGGCCCGTGTATCAATGCCTGGGAACTCGGTTGAGAAATCCAATCATGAAGCCTCGCCTGGGCTTCGCCAACCAATCACTGTCACGGTCAATCCAATCAACCAATCACGCTCTGTGCTTTTCCCCTTGCTCTCTGGTATCCACGTTAATGTCTCCCGCGCCCCCCCCCCTCCTGGAAAGCCCTCTCCCTCTGCCTCTTGCCTGCACCCCCACCGTCCCCTCTGCCACCACCTCGCAGCTCTGCCCTGGCACCCCTACCCCTGGCTCCAGATTCCAACTGACGCCCCCCGCCCCCTTCCCCCTCAACCTCCTGACGTCTGCTTATCTGCTGCCTATCCCACTTCAGGGACAGGTGAGAGTGGTGCGGCACTGGCTAACCCCACAGAGGGTCTCGGCACAGGTTGCCGGCAAGGTCGGCTATGGACTGGGGGTGTGAGATCGAGCGCCGCTGCTGGTGCTACGCTCGGCAGGCCTCCGACCTTCCGGAGAGTCTCCTCGGACCTGTCCCGCCGGGGAGTCTCCTCAGACCTGTCCCGCCGGGGAGTCTCCTGGGACCTGTCCCAGCAGGCAGTCTCCTCGAGCCTGTCCAACCGGAGAGTCTCCTCAGACCTGTCCCACTGGAGAGTCTCCTCAGACCTGTCCTACCGGAAAGTCTCCTCGGACCTGTCCCACCGGAGAGTCTCTTTAGACCCGTCTCAACAGGCGTTCTCCTCAGACCCGTCCCACCGGAAGATCTCCTCGGACCTGTCCACCGAAAAGTCTTCCTCGGACCTGTCCCGTCGCCTCCCGTCTCGCCGTATCCGTCCAGCCGGGCATCTCTCCGGACCTGTCCCGTTTGAACGTCTCCTCCGGCCTGTCTCGTCGAAGTGACTCCCGGGACATTTTCCGCCGGAGCATTTCGTGACTTCGCAGGGCCCTCCGGGTGGTCGATCCCCATTCGGGAGTGCCCCGGCCATGATCACTCCTCGCGGTAGGGCAGTCACGAGACCGGTTAGCCAATAGAAAGCTAAGGTGATAAGGGGATGCTTGCAAGCTGTTTCTGCTTCGTTAATGTTTATGCCTCTGAGGTGCTAGCATGCTGGCACCTGGAGGGATCAAGAAGCCTAATGCAGTCTGATTTCTGCTGCAGGTGCGCTGTTGCAAACCTTCTTCTGCTCTTTATGCCTGACGTAACGTGAATGTATGCTCCATTGATTTGGGTCATGCCGCTGTGTTAGCGAGCCGCTTTTGTCTGTCATGGGGCCAGTTATTTATTATAGGCGCCGTGGTGAGGGGCCAGTTATTGCGGAATACAGGAAAACATGCTCACAAACTAGAGCGATGTGTGCAGTGAACAGACAGCGCACCTCACATTACTGTTCTAACGTTGCTTTTTTCAAGAACAGTTGTTTGTCATTCTTCCGGTATCCACTATCGATATTGATTCGATTAGCAACTGAAAGTGGCGGACATGCATTTGGTCTAAGTCGACCGCAAACAGCCTTGTCACCCCTTTCCCCCCCCCCCCCTACCCCTCTTCGTCGCAAGATGCGACCGCCCGCTCGTGCGGAGACAGGCCAAAAAAGTCGGGGCATATTCTTTTGTTTTTTTTGGGGGGGTGGAGCGGTTAAAAGGTAATGTCCTATACTTGCGTGGAGCTTTGAAGTGAGACAGTCATTTTAGATATCATAACATACAATTCGCAGCCATGCCCTTTTCGATTCTTTAAGCCCTTTTGTCTCTGAGCTTGACGCGCGCAGCCTCGTGCGGCGAATTTTGCGCTGCCTACTTGAAGCACAACCGGTCATGCACATCTTAGAAATGTCATACGAACACCGCCACCTCAACAGCCATGTAGTGCTCAAAATCAAACAAAATATCATTACCGAAATTTTTGTGCCACGGATATGGGATGAAGGAACATGAACGCCGTCAGGTAACGACTGCATTCACCTTGTGACCCATCTGTTGAGAACTGGCTCGCACAGGGACGCCTCGGCAGAGTGTGTGCTGGATTTCGTGTGCATTTCGCATGGGTTTCATGAACGAATGAATTTCATGAATTCCGACGCCGAGAGACATGCCACGAGGCATAGCTTAGCTTTTTCTCACAGGAGTGAGTGTACATTTTTCAGTAGAGTGTAGGGTCACGTTTTAGCCATTGCGAACAGCATTGCCGAACCGCGAAGTCTACGTACGTTGAAGGCTGCTCGCGCGGGTGCTCTGTTAGTGCGAAAACGACCCACTCCGACACGCTCTATTTCGCACCGATGTCTGCAACTGGCTGTGGACACGGCGCCAGGTAGGGAGCGGGATGACTTGAATGCCGATAACCCCCAACAAGACAGGTGGGCTGTTGCGTCAGAGCATGCCAGACGGGAGACGGGATCTGGGTAGAGGGCGCCGCGCCCCGGCGGATAATACCAGCCGTGCGAAGAGCTGATTGGTCCGTGGAACGGTTACGTCACCGGTAGGAACGTTGCAATAGCGAAGTGGTGGATGTCGCAGGCAGTCGTGATATCCGGCAATGTCTAACGACGTGGACTAGAAAGAGCCTAGAAAAACTCTAGGGAGGATCGCTGGTGTTCATGCCATGCACCATGCAGAACCCTCTTCGAGTACAGGAGGTTGACTTATATTGCAACTTATATTGTGACTGCACACTCGGCATCATGATCAGCCGGATGTCGTTTCGGTCCAGGGTGTGAGTGCGGCCTCTTTACAAGCATGGAACCCGGACGTTGAATTCGGCATGTACCCGTGAACTACATCATACTCTCAGCATGGCCGTCCCACTACGCGCTTGGTGACCGCCCAGAACCTGCTGGCGGGGCAATAGGGGATGGGGGGGGGGGGCAGCATCTTCCCACCAGCATGCAGGGTTTGTGGTTTTTTGGTCGTTGTGAGACAAAAAACATAGCTCCCCACGTTTACAACGTTTGCACAGCCGACATTACAATGGAGATAAACGTTAGGGGCCTGTACACTACTATTTGCGGCGTGCACGCAAGTTATGCGCGGTGCGCTCAAGCAAAAAGAAAGAATGCTGACGCCTACATGCATATACGTTTAAACTTTTCGGTGCGTACCTGTGATGCCCGCAACTAATCGCATATTGTGACGTTTGTTTTTAAGCTGTTCCTCTCGCCGTCCGGAAGACACTTCTTGATCACGCCAACAGAACATTGCTAGGAACATGTACGGGCTTAATCGTACTTGGAATGCAGCATTTCCATCTTCGTTTTCTCCAGTCATCAGATGATCTCGTCAGTTATTACGATGAATGTTGTCGCAGCATAGTGTGTATCCAGGCGATGATAAATAACTTTGGGAAGTCAGTACACTTAAACGCCTAAGAAATACACTTAGGGGTAGTAAGCTGATCTAACTGACCACACAGCCTCCGATTGTTAGTCATATTTAATTTATCTTGAACCATTTTGTGCGTCGGCAATGGGATGCAACCTGTGTAAGACCCTGCCTAAACAGCGAACACCGAAATTCGTCTTCACTCTGAAATATTAGGTGGACGGCAATTCCTGCCCTATGTAGGCATGCACGAGTCGAGCGCATTGAAAAACGATCCTCGAAGGAATGTGTTTTCCATGGCTCCCTTGTGCTCTCCGGCCAATTCGCCTCTTAATCGGCACGTCCTGTGCACGTTTCTGCCCTTCGATTCCACCCTACGGCCCAACAAACGGATCTCGGCACCAGCAGACTGCGGTAGACTGCGGTAGACCAGCAGACGAGGAGCTTTCTCCCGCCTTGGCACTTAAAGTTCTGTATCGGATGCCGTCACACAACCCATCTCAGATTCAACAGGAGACGAAACGGTGCGTTGTACACCCTACCTGATGTCACGATGCGAAGAAACACTAGAGGCTCTGAAACACTAGCGTCTCGGTCTGGTTTCTGCTTGCCCCCTGACCTGACCTGACCTGACCTGACCTAACCTGACCCGATTCGACCTGACCTGACCTGCCTTGACCTGTGCTGGCCTGGCCTTACCTGACCCGACCTGATCCGACCTGACCTGACCTGTCTTCACCTGTGCTGACCTGACCTGACCTGACCCGACCTGACCCGACCGGCAGGTATCGGCGTGGATGACACGTTCGTGGTGCTGTCGGCCTGGCGCCGGACCCGTATCCAGGACTCCGTGCCGGCAGCGGATGGCGGCCGCGTACGAGGAGGCTGCTATCTCCATCACCATCACCTCGCTGACCGACATGTTCTCCTTCTGGGTGGGCGTGGCGACGCCCATCACCAGTGTCCAGATCTTCTGCCTCTACACCGGTGGGTGCAGGGGTCCTGACCTCTGGGGGGCATTGCCCCCACACTGAACCGTGTGTGTGTGTGTGTGTGTGTGTGTGTGTGTGTGTGTGTGTGTGTGTGTGTGTGTGTGTGTGTGTGTGTGTGTGTGTGTGTGTGTGTGTGTGTGTGTGTGTGTGTGTGTGTATGTGTGTGTGTGTGTGTGTATGGACGGTGTGATGCCTTGGTGACGGTCTGCTGGTGCACGGGGCTCGACTGCATAAGGCGCTGGAGTCGCCGCTCTTGCAAACCGTGGTTGGCTGTGTGTCGTGATAGGCATGCTGTAGCTATGCTCATTACCCGGTGCATCGGAGGCTCCGCGACCAGCAGCATATCTTCCGAGCCTTTTTAGGCCAGCTCATGTTTTGGAACACCACTGGACGTCTTTGAGCAGAGGTAAACAAATGTTATGTAAGTTGTTAAGTGCATTTGTGAGGAGCCTCACTCATATAGATAAGACAGCCGTAATAGCCTCATCCCTCGGAGAAAAACCGGGAGAATGGAGATATAGATGTTTTGATATTCCGGCAATATGCCCACATCGGAACAACAACAGAAATCAAACAAGCCAAACAAAGGAAACAAATATAAAGGCACCTATGTCTCCATTCTTCTGTTCTTTTCTCCGAGCAATGAGGATACTAGTGCTGTCTTATCTATATGAACAAAAGTTCTACGATCATGTTTTGGATTGTCATGAGGTGCAATTTACAGCACTCCACAAATGTGCTATGGCGTGCCAATACTACTCAGCGACTTGGACGGTGTTAGAAAATCTACGAATGCTCTTCGTTGATAGGAGCAAGGAACGCCTGAACCTGATGGTGTTTCGGCATTATGAGTTCGTGCACTAGGATAACCGACCTTCAGGAGGTGCAGGTTAAGCGAAGATGTCGACCAATGATCGGCATATACTGTGAGAATATTCGAATTGCTAGTAGTGTCATTGTCAAGAGTGAACAAAGCTCAAAGTCCTGCTGGTTCACAGCACTGTTGGTTGAGCGCATTGCTGGCTTGAAGTGCCTGCTGGTTCAAAGCACCTTGTTCCAAGTACCACACGGTTTAAAACATCACCAGATCGCTATATATATATATATATATATATATATATATATATATATATATATATATATCGCTAGATCAGAAGCATTGCTAGAAAAGTCGAGTAGGAATTCTTAGAATAACCCCAATGATTGCTCGCCATATCGCAAGAAACGTGCCTCCCGGTATACTGAATGCGATACATGCTTTCCTCATCACAAGGACTCATAATGGACTCATAACCTATACCCTTGGTTCGGCCCACTTCCGCCGTTTCAGGAACGTCGGTGTCTTCACGCTCCCCTGCCACATCTACGCGTCGTTTCTTAGCTACCAGCATCCCTCATGTGCGCGCATCTCATCACCTGGCCATCGTTACAGGGGTGTCGGTGGTCTTCACCTACCTGTGGCACCTCACCTTCTTCGGCGCGTGCCTGGCGTTCGCGGGTTACGCAGAGCAACGCAACCTGCACTCGGTCACCTTGAGGCCGGTGCTGCCTCACTCCGAGGCGGGTGAGTCTATCGGAGGCAGCGTCCCACGTGGAACCAGTCCCATCCGGCGCGACCTGACCCGACGGGGCGCGGGCTGCGCGCGAGCATCTGCTGATCAAGCCCACGCGCTCGGGTGCCAGGCCGTGCCGTCGCAAGGTGCGGTGGATCAGCAGCCCCACAGGAATGCCATCGCGATGCTGGAGTCTTGATTTGAAGTCGGTACCTTCCGGCTGCGGGACACTCCTGCTGCTGGCGGGGCCACCAATAAACCCGTTATTTCGTCAGCTGCGTTGCATGAAAAAACCTCGCTGTCTGGCTGAGGCGACGGTATTTGACGTTTATTTTTTGGTTCGTTGTCGCTATGCGGACAGATTAAGTGTCATCCCTTACATGGGTCTTATCGGAGCTGGCGCTTTGCAGTGCCCCCAAGTGGACGGTTTTGACGTTAGGTTACCAGAGAGTTGCGGTCTCGTTTCAAACCCGGTGTCACGGTGTTCCCCGTGCTGAATCAAACTGCGCAGAGCGCATGCGCACGGGTAGTGCCTGTCCGCAAGAAATGTCCCGAAGTCGCCACGAAGCGTTGCGCGTGGTTGGCCGCTGGGTACGTTACCCGTGTTACGGAGCAGCGCGCGTCCGGGACGCGGCACGACGCGAATGTTTGAAAGCCACTTCTCATTGGCTAAGTCTTTATCACACGCGATACTTGGCCGAGTACGCAGTCCAGTACATTTCGTTCCGCATTCCGCGCGAGTCCGCTTTCCAGTCCGCTCAATGAACCAGGTGTGGCTAGGAAACGAAGCCGAGTGTGTGGAACGCCATCCCTTCAGGCGGGTGACCTCAGAACGTGATGAGAACGGCAACGCGGAGCACAGCATTCGCGTATCACGCTGCGCGCTTGGGTACCCTTGTCGTTCCTCTTCGGTCTGCATGCCCGCAGGCGGTGTGGCGTGGCGTGACCTCTGAACCCCGCCGCCGCAGGTGACAAGCCGCGCTGGTACCGCCTCCTCTGCGCCGGAGGTGTGTCACGGTCCGATCCGTGGAGAGAGGTCGACAATCCTGACCATGGCGCCATGCTCTTCTTCAAGAACACGCTGGCCAAGGCTCTCAACAAGCCGACGGTGAAAGGTGCGTGACTCTGGTCTGGTCTGTGCAGCTGACGCTGCGACGAGTGTTGGAGGACCCACTGGTGCGATTAGCTTTGCTTGACAGTCGTCGCCTTCCTTCAGGTTAAGAAACGGTGTGAAAGACACCGATGGGCTTCGTGCACGTGCCTTTCTTATCGTCTCGCGTTACCCGCCTGCGCCGGCCTAATCGTCCTGTTAGATCTGCCTTCAGACTACGATCTGTGCAGTCTGTTAATCGCCGTATTGATAGGCTCATGTCGTTAGTCTATATCTTGCCAGCTGAGCGTTTGATGTACGCTGCATGTCTTGTATTTTAAACCACCACTATGAAGACCACCATAATCACCATCATCATCACCACCATCGCCGTCATCGCCGTCTCAAGCATCACCTCCATCATCACCGAATCCCCAACATTATCACTTTTACCACCGGCGTTTAATCTGCTGCTAAATTTATCGATCATCACATCACCAGCTTCATCATCGAGAGCACATCATCACCACCTTAATTTCCGTCATCACATCTATCGCTAAGATAGTCATCAAAACAGCCTCGTCTCTGTCTGTGCTGTACTCAGTCGCTGTATGACTCTCCCCGATCTCCGCAGCGCTGGTGATCGTCTCGTTCCTGCTGTACCTGGCCGGCGCCATCTACGGCTGCCTCCACGTGCAGGAGGGCCTGGAGAAGCAGCGGCTGGCCGGCCCCGACTCCTACAGCGTGCAGTACTTCCAGACGTCCGCCAAATACTTCAGCGACTTCCCGTACCGAATACAGGCGAGTCGGAGCCGAGCACGACACACGATGGACATGCTGCTCGGGTCTATGGCGAGGAACTAGAGAGAGGAGTCGGTCTGGGCAAACCGCTGAAAGGTCGTATGAAGGTGAAACAATGCGTGTTTTGGTGCCTTCAGCCGTCGGCATACGATGACTGCATACATGTGGCACGTGCAGCTGATTGTCACCTACAAAAGCAAAGCCTAAAGAAACCAGTGAATAAATTAGTGAACACACGGCATCCAGTTTTAGCTGGGGGAGGGGGCCGAAGGTCTGAAATCAACAGGTTAAATGCATCAAGAAGCTCTTTCCCAGGACGGTGGCAAACGTCACGGCGAGTTGGAGAGAGCAGTTGCAGTTGCAGTTGGAGAGAGCAGTTGTTGCTGAGTTGGAGAGAGCAGTTGTTGCTGAGTTGGAGAGCGCAGTCACTGGCAGTCTTTGACTCTGCTACCACAAGTGCTGTGCTTGTTCCTCTACGCCTGTAACTGCGAGGGTTGTAACGCTCAACGTCCCTAGTAGAGCTGAGGCCAGTGGCATTCTCCAGCGGAGGGTGTCGAACCCGGCTCTCGCAGACCACAACCCAGCGCGTTATCCCCGCAGCAACTCACGCTTTCCCTCGGGCGCAGGTCATCGTGGAAGGCCGGCTCAACTACTCGGACCCGAAGGTGCAGCAGGAGGTGGAGACGCTGCTGCAGAAACTGGAGTCGAGCCGCTTCGTGGCCGACAAGTTCTACACGGACTCGTGGCTGCGTGACTGGACGGGGACGCTGGAGTGGGGTGGCGACGTGCTGGAGGTGGACCTCTCTACATACGAGAAGTGGACGGAAAGCCTCAAGAGGGTGGGTGGCCGAGGCGTGGGTTGGTGACTCACTGGCGCAGAGGCTAAGCAAATGAAGAGCGATTGAGATGAGATGGATGCCCCCATAACAGCTTTTATTCAACTAAACGCGTATTAAACCTGTCCCCTGTGAACAACGCTCACTTCAGTGACTTTTCACACCATATCTGATCAGCGCGCTCCACCCGCAGCCAATTCTGTAGGAAGTGGGTGCAATCGTGATAACGGATTAAAGCAGAATGCTGTAGACAGGGGATGCGCATGAATTTTGAATTTAAGCAGAATAGTATCAGGTTATTGGATCGTAATGGGAAATCAATCCGAGGCGATTGTTTGGTAGGTAATAGTTTGCGCTGCCACTAAACCCGTGCGCCTACCTGCGGTTTCGAACGGTTACGAATTATCAGTTTAGGAGGTTAGTCAAAAGGAAGCCATAGGAAGGGGGGGGGGGTAGCACCAGTTGGCGGTTGGGTGCAACCCGCACCATGGGGGTCAGTTTTGCCTCGCCCTGATATCTCAAAAATGAGGGAGCTTCACACACCAAATTCACTTTTGAGATCCATACCTTATGACCTTAAGATTGAGTAAGGTCAAGCAAAGTCAAACTTCAGAGCGACGTCTGAAGTGTCTCAGACCTGTCCATGTAACCCAGGGGGTATTTTGTGCATAGATACCGCCACTAAGGAAAAGGTCACTGTTCTTCACTTCAAGCAAGTGACATTATTTTTGGGGAAAGGTCACGTTGAGCAGAAACCTAAGTGATAGTTTTAAGTTTTGAATTAGCACGCACTCGGGTAGGGGCGCCAATTTGACCCTTAAAGTTTTTTTCCAGAACAAATTAAATCGAAGATGCAAAGTCGCGCCGAGCTTTGCACACCTATAGGCAACTGGATATTCAATCTTTTGGTAAAAGTATGGATGTACCTTGTAAAGTTAACTTACCTACCTTGCAAGGTTGCCTTACAAGGTACAAGGTACCTTCCTTTTCTACTTTGACCTACCGACAGGCCAAAGTCAGGCCAACCTGGTTTTTGTTTCTCGGGCAAAAAAGTTTTTTAACAGGTTTTGGAAAACTGATGAATTTTCTTTATGGAGTAGTTTTTGCAATCCTTTCAATGTATTGATCATAGGGGCGTCAATAGACATCATATATTGACTTCATTAAAGTCAGAGGAAGTCACTGACCTAGAATTACCCTGATTATTTTATGTTCTTTTAGGATCATACCGCCTAGCATAGCTATTGACTCATATTTAACTAAAAAATTAAAACAATGGCATATGTTTTGATCACCGTGACTATCTGAAGGTGTAGTAAAATCACTGACCAGAGATGGATACCAGTGACCTTTTGCTTAGAAGAGGTATTTAGTTAAAAGATGGTTGCATGAGAAGATCTGAGGCACTTCGGACACCGATTTGGGGTTCGACATTGTGTGGCCTTATTTGACCTAAAGGTCATGATCTAGGGACCTGAGAAGCTGACACAAGTAAACTCATGTATAGTCCTACCTGCTCTGTGAATTTGGTGTGTCTAACTCTTTTGATTTTGTAGATATCAGGCTGACGTCAAACTGACCCCCACCCGGGCGCATTGCATTCAGCCGGCTGCTCTGGCACGTGTTAAAAAACTGCGAGTAAAATATGTTGGATGTGAAGGTAACTATGGCCTCAGCAGGTGATCAGCTAGCAACCTCCTTACATCAAATCGCCGCTGATTGGAGGCACTGCGATTCATAACACATGATTCCCTTTAATGCTTTAGTGCACGCCGATGAGTTGGTCAAAGTCACGGAATATGTGTAACTGAAAGGACACGTAAGTCTGGTGATTCACGATTGCTTGAATATTTTGGGATGGTGAGCTACGTCTGCAGTCAACCGTTGCACGAGCAACCCACCGAAAAGAGTTCATGGGGACTGACTGCCTGCGCCGCTACCGCGTCCACTTCCGCTGACCAAAGTAGTCGTTGTCCGAGTCTGTCCCCGTTTGACCCCTTCCCTCCACTAAGGCATCCCCTGGGACCGCCCCTGCCCACCTTTTCCAATCGTGTCACTCACCTGATTCTCCACTACCCACATTCCGCCTACCGACCCGGTGTCCAATCAATATCTCTCCTCCTGCAATCGCCCCTGCTGCCCCCCCCCCCCCCCGATTGCCACTCCTGTACCCGCCCCTGCTGACGCTGCCGCGCTCCTTCGTAGGTGATGCTGAGCGGGTCAGGGGGCACGCCCCAGCTGGACGTGGCGTTTGACGAGACGGGCCGGCACATCGTTGCCTCCCGCTTCATCATCCAGATCAAGGATGTCCAAGGCGAGACGGAGAGCAGCCTGATGATGGAGGAGCTCCGGACTATCTGTGACCAGTCTCCGCTCGAAGCCGAAGTCTTCGATCCTCGTTTCATCTTCTTTGATCAGGTGAGGTTTCGGTGGAGCAGGATAAACAATGCTGGCACGAAAGATGCGGCTACGTTTTAAACGGAAATTTTGGGACGTTTGTGCACAAATGACCTGCGAATGTCGACAGTTCCTGGCACTAGCGTGAGTCATCATCTGTTCCCACATGTCCCTGTGCGGCTGTCGTGGTACTTTTGCATAGAGCATGGCTTGTTAGTCAATTTTATGTCCAGTTCTTCCATCCCCTACGTGTCAGTAATGAAGCACCATGCTTCAGCACGCCAGCTGACCACTGCGTTTCTGTATTTGTTCTCAGTACACCTACGTAAGAAGCATCACCATACAGTCCACAGGCATTGCTGCCATCATCATGTGCATCATCTCGCTCATCTTCATCCCCAACCCGATCTGCTCGCTGTGGGTGGCATTCAGCATCCTCAGCATCGAGATCGGCGTCATCGGCTACATGTCGTTGTGGGGCGTGAATCTGGACAGCATCTCCATGATCAATCTCATCATGTGCATTGGCTTCTCGGTGGATTTCTCCGCGCACATCAGTTACGCATACATGTCAGCGCACGGCAAGTCAGCCGACAAGAGAGTGGAGGAGAGTCTGTACGCCCTGGGACTGCCGATTCTACTAGGGGGCCTCTCCACAATAGCCGGCGTGAGCACGCTCTGTCTCGCGCCTTCCTACATCTTTGAGGTCTTTTTCAAGACCATCTTCCTCGTGATCACGTTCGGCCTGATGCACGGCCTGTTCCTGCTGCCCGTGATGCTCTCACTGTGCGGGCCGGGCAGCACCCTCTGCGGCTTCCGCAAACGGGAGCGTGACTCGGCCGAGAGCGCCAGCTCCGCCGACCCACCGACCTACCTCGGCCCGCCGTCGCTGCTCGCCACCGGCAGCGACAAGTATCCAAACCCTCCGCTGGCCGTCGCGGTCACGCCGACCGCGGCCGACCCGGCCGCCGTCCCGCCGCCGTCGCCTCCGGCCTGCGGCGTGACCCAGGCCGAGCTGCTGGCGCGGACCCTCGGTCTGGGCGGCTCCGGTGACGACACGAGCAGCGCCGGCAGCGCGTGCATCCCGCGCGCTCCGTCTGGCGCGCCGCGCGCGCTCGCCACTCGAGCCGGGCGCGCTCGGTGTGTACAGCAACGAGGGCTACAGCAGTGACAGTGAAGCAGTGAGCAGCGAGTCTGGGGTCGAGCAGACCGCTAGTGTACGTCCACCGCCGAGCTGGCGGACAGTGACAGCACAGGACGGGCGCCTAGTGAGCGCCAGTCCTTGGCTCCGGACACGGACGGAACGCCAAGGCTGAGCTCCGGACACGGACGGAACGCGCAAGGCTGGGCTCCGGACACGGACGGAACCGCCGAGGCTGGGCTCCGGACACGGACGGAACGCCGAGGCTGGGCTCGGACACGGACGGAACGCCGAGGCTGGGCTCCCGGACACGGACGGAACGCCGAGGCTGGGCCTCCGGACACGGACGGAACGCCAAGGCTTGGGCTCCGGACACGGACGGAAACTCCGAGGGGGAACGCCGACCCAGCACTTTGGACGGGTCTCGACTTTGGCCGCGAGCAAAGCGCGGTGTGCAACTTTGGGACGCCCGGGCGGGGGCTGGACTCCGGACGGGTCTCTGCTGGATTCCGGTCGGGCTTGGCTGAGTCCGGACGGGTCTTGGTGGACTCCGGTCGGGTCCTTGACAGGACTCCCGAACGGGCCTTAGCTGGACTCCGGACGGGACTCGGAAGCCCCCCCCCCCCGGCTCAGACCGCGCCGTCCAGCTGCTGGCGAACGGCCGAGTCCGGCTCCCTGGACTCCTGTCCGGAATCAGCAATGGACTGGGTCTGGCTCCGGCTCGCAGGCTAAGCCCAACAGGAGACACGGATTGAGCTCCGGAGAAATTCCGACGCGGCATGGGTGACGCGGGAGTGACGATATACCAGGTCGGCTGAGGCTTCTGAGAAGGGCCGTCGTCCGAGGCTTGTCCACTCCCACGCCGCCTGCGCGGAAGAACGGGGAGCGTTCACCCGAGGCTGCATCCCCCGTCGACATGTCCAGCTACGGCCATGCCGTGTGCGTTCATCGCCATCGTTTCATCATCTACTGGCATCAGTGTGTGATGCTCGTGTTGCTGCCTTATCCCGTTGAACACCAAAGACATTCGGCAGCGACGTGGTGCTCTCCCGCGGGACCACACTTCAGTTGTGAGCGAATTCGTAGTGGAAAGATGGACCTTGCGTACTGTCTCCGGTAGTCGGTGGCATGAGGTCAATGCAAACATAAGTTCAGTGAAGTGAGCATGGTGAGCAGCACGATCATGCCGGCTCCGACAGCCATTGCGGCCTGGTCTTCCAGTGTTAGCATTCCGTCGCTTTGATGCCGCCATGCGTATACTAGTCTTTTTAAATTAAAGCGACTGATGTGTGAGCATGGGCTGCATATTTCAAAACCATCGCATTCATTTTGTTTAGCTTGTACGCCACTGCAGCTTGCACGAACTTATGCGCAAGCTTGTTTCTTGGAGTTGATGGCTCAAGAGATAGTTCGTAATGTCGTGATAATCAGCGTTCGGTTAGGGCTCAGCAGCGAGTCTGAATTGCCTTGTAGCTGTTGTTGTAGCTGTCTTGTGGAGTGTCTGTCTGTGTCTGTGGAGTGTCCTGTGTCTGTGTCTGTGGTGTCCTGTCTGTGTCTGTGGTCTGTGTGTCTGTGGAGTGTCCAGTGTCTGTGTGTCTGTCTGTCTGTGTCTGTGTGTCTGTCTGTCTGTGTCTGTGTGTCTGTCTGTCTGTGTGTCTGTGGAGTGTCCAGTGTCTTCCAGTGTCCTGTGGAGTGTCTGTCTGTTGTAGCTGTCTTGTGTAGCTGTCTTGTGGACCCCGCGAGTCTTGCTTGTTGTAGCTGCTTGCACCTGTTGAGTTTTGGGTATTCTGTCACGGTTGCGTGAGCTTGTAGAATGCTGTTCGTTTTACATGAAGGCTGCGCACTGCCAAACTCCTCACCGTGGCAGCTGCTGAGAATGTGCAATGGCGGGATGTAGCCAGCGCCGAGGAGCCATGGGTAGCTGGCCAAGGCCGACAGAACAGAACCAGCTACCTGCCATCCCGTATGCCATGCTGAGGCCACGATTCCGCATGCACGAAGCGTCTCCACGACGAAAGGGATGCGAGGAGCCCGAATGAAGGGCTCAGGGTTGCGTGAACGACACGTGGATGCGTAATCGGGTGGCAACAGGGTGGCAACAGGGTGCTGGTGACTTTTTAGGAGGATTTCCGGCGGCTGATGTGATGTTCGCGTGTTCGGAGCTGTCGGGTCCTAGGGCCCAGGTCCGGGCCCTCACCAGTCCCAGAGGAGGTCGGCTTGTCCTGATGTCGCGGTGCTTTCATTCATGTCGTTTCTGAAGAACATTTAAGCTTTGTATTTTACCTCATAGTTAGTCCGTTTCGTTCAGAAGAGCACTAGCGAAATGGAACGACGCGTGTGCCTTGTGCGTTGTAGTAAACCGTTAATACACCTTTCATACACGAGTTTCTGACCCCGGTATCGTCTAATCCCACAACGCGTACGCGTGGCATGAGCTTGTCGTAATCAAGTAATTCCCAGCTGAACTAGGCAGCCACCCGCCGGGAAGTCTAGCAGTGGCACATCTCACAATCGTGCAGTGTTAGCCGGCGACAATGCTTTTAAATGTTAAAACACATATGCATCCAGCAGGATGGGAGTAGTCGGCTGCAATTGCTCAAGGCGCGATAATCACTCTCACTCCCATTAGCGTATTCTTGTGGAACACCATGAGGATATCTTTCCCAAATCCGGCAAAGGTCAATGCATTGGTAGCATGCACAGCTCGCCGCTGTAAGAAGTAGTTTTTAAAGGCACTAACACTGGCTTTTGGCGTTGGCGCGTTCCCTGTGGGGGGGGGGGGGGCGGTGCCATTGTTCGCCGGGATACGGCGAAAAGATTTTTCTCCCTTCTGCATAGGGAAATAGTAAGACTTTGATGACGTTCCGATAAGGGCGAATCGTAATCTGATTGCGCTGCCAATGGCCCCCATACGTGCTTTGTCAGGAAGGGCTAGAATGTCGACATTGTAAAGGAAGAGTTTTGGATCCGCTGCGTCATAGTCCGGCGCTCCCACCCCCCACCCCCTTCCCCCTTTCTCATGAGTGCCCGTTTAAGTTAGAAGCAGCCTTGATGTTGAATAAGCCACTTATCTGATCATCATATATCACATCATTATAACTATACTTATCCATCAAACGTATGCTGCATGATTTTGTTTGAGTTTACCAAGAGTGATAAGTTACAGTGTGCTGAAATGGCGCTGGTGAGTTTTGACCCGTTGGCTACTCCGTTGGTTCGCAAATGCTTTAGTAGCGTATTCAGAGCTGCACTTGTTTATCTGTGTTTGAGACCTTTATTGGACACTTAAAGGGGGACCCAACATGAGCCAATGGATATGGCCAGTGAAAAGAAACTGGAAAACATCTGAATACACATGGATTTTGACATATTTTAGGGCAGTTGGCACTTAAATGGAATAAAGCCTGTGCGGATTGGCTCTATTAGTGCATTAAAAGGCTTGACTTTCATGACAGTTCATCAAGAAAAGGTATTTGCAAATGCAACGTTGGTGTGATAGTTCAGAAATAACATCATTTGTAAATTGCCTCGCTTTGAGCCTGTTCAGGCCAGGCCATTCCAGTCGGGGAAATCTAAAAGCTTGAAAATGACTTACGCTTCCAATGTTTTTGACCAGTAGGCTTCGAAAAACTGCAACAATTGCAACAACTGCAAGCGGATGCCAATTGCAGTGGACACGGGTTGGGGGCCTGTGTGGTCGTTCATCGCTCCGTGCCTCTTGGTACCCGCGGCAGCAAATGGCATCCGGTGCTATTTGCATGATTGTCCGGTGCTATTTGCATGGCACTGTCCAGTGCCAAGAGGATTACCGCGTGGCAAGGGCCGGGCAGGCTAAGGCCGACCAGTGGCTCGTAGACGTGTCAGACGACCTGCCATCTGCCCGCACCGTGCAGTCGGTTTCACGCCTTATTGGCTCCCATGGCCGATCTGACTCATGGCTGAGTCCTTGAAAACAATAAAAAGGGGGATTCACGGCCTTCCTACATCGGACCACACTTCGTCAGCGTGGTTGCCTGTCCTGTCCTCGTGGAATGGAGCTGGCTTTGTGGTGCTGCGGCGGGGTGTTATCCATATTTCCGGGAGATCTCCGGGGACAGGTCCGGTGAGGCATCAGGTTGTTGGGTACGTTCGATCAACATTATCGGCTCAGTCCCCCCCCCCCCCCCAAAGTGACACCCCTGTGACTTTGAAACTCACACTTCTGGCTCTCAGCCTGACGGAAGGGATGCCCCAGACCGTCGCATAACAGACACAGGCCATTAGCACGGTTGCACATCACGCACAAACGTTATGCGGAAGCCAATCGGCGGAGATGACCACGACCGCTGAGCGTCCGGTCTGAGGCTGAAGTGACAGCGCCGCGGAAGAGGTGCCCGCAAAAGACACCGCCAACCAGCTCTTTACCATCTTAGATTACCAACCTCAGCTATGAGCTTACAACCAGGCAAACTCCGGATGAGGCGGCAGGTCACTGACCTTGCTCCGATTGAGGTCACCGGATGCGACGGCGCCGTTCACAGGTGATGCCTGTCAACCACCACCGCCTTCGGAATGCAGGGCTGAGCAGCTATATGGACATCGGATGTTCTGAGAGAGCGGAAGCCTGAAGGAGGCGTGACATTGATAGCGCACTGAACAAAATGTGGAACATGCTGACCAATGATTGCCACAGATACTGAAAAGTTGAACATTAAAGTCGTCAGGACTTGAGTCGTATATCAACAAGA